TCATGAAGACAAAAAGGGTGGGAGATGAGATCCCAGGGAGCTTGGATTATCACTCTGAAATCGCTAGGTCGGAGTCTATCCATGGAGTTAGTAGTTCTTTTTTGATAAGCATGTGACTCCCTCGCCCAAATGTTTCTCACTCAAATATTATGTGCCCAACACTTAAATAATTTTTAAGGGAGGAGTCCACATCTTTCACATCAGGAGCCCAGTCTTCACCTCAGGAGCCCCCACTTCACATCAGAGCTCCCGGTTCACATCGGAGTCCTCCTTCACCTCAGGAGCCCCCACTTCACATCAGATCACGTTTCACATCAGAGTCCTCCTTCACCCCAGGAGCCCCCTCCTTTCATATCAGAATCCCGCTCTGATATCAGAGTCCCCCTCTTTCACATCAGGAGCCCCCACTTCACATCAGAGACATGATGCTGTGTGAACATTTTGAGGAACTCAGGAGGCACCCCAGGGTGCCATGGCACACTGATTGAGAAAGTCTGATCTAGAAGCTCGTGGAAGGTAAATCCCTGAGGATCAGGAAGGATTTTTTTGTTCTGTGTTAAATCAAATTGGACCACAGTCTCCCAGATTGGTTAAGTGTTCTGAGGATGCAAGGTCTTAATGTATTGGTTGCACTTGATACTTAAAAATAACTGTTGATGAGATAAGGAAATCTGTTTCTATAGTAAGCAATGTTGGGATAGTGCCCAAGAACCCCCTGTTGTACGTTAGCATACATCAGGTCCAGCCAAGCTATGGAAACCTTTACATCCCTTTGTGAATACTGCTAGATAACCACCTCATTTATGTCTTAAACACTGAAAGTAGTAACCTTTTGTAGGTGTTAATCTATTCTTACTGTAAAAGGGTCCATCTTGAAATTACACTGTGGGCATAATTTATTATTATTGCCTACCTGTTACAAGTGCAGGGAAGAGGTCAGCGCCATGAATGGTAATTGCTGGGTAAACAAATCCATACAGATGCAAACCTTAGCAACAAAATAACGACCTGTCTGTCTGGTTTAGTTCTGTTATAGGTGACCACAGAGTCTGTTCTTCAAAGAAAAAGGTCATTGTGTTGTATTGTGGCAACCTTTCAAAGGGCTAAATTAGCATGGTGGAGTTTGTTTATTTTTATTGTAGATTGTATAATGCAGCGTGTATTCCAAGCACTGCATGGCCCTGGACTTGATGTTGGCTCCCCTTTGTAATGACAATACAATATTCAGCTTAATCTGCTATAAGATTAAATAAAATAGCTAGATTGGGTGAAGATCTCCCAGTGTAAAGCTTTCAGCCAACTGCTCTTAAAGGAACAATTGCTCACTGAGGGTGAATTTGATCACTATTGTTCCCACTCGTGACGCTCCAGTAACATCTGCAATATACTCAACAATATGTAGACATAAAGGGCCAAATAAAACCATAGCTCACTGCTATTTTAGTGTCAATATGTGTGTTATGATGAGTCCTGCTGACTTGGCCAAGATTCGACCAGTGCGTGTGGCCGAGTCAGCACCTGTTCATTTGACAAAAGTTGATTTTTCAAGGGAGCCGTTCTAAAAGTTCTCGGCCACATAATTGCAATCACTGTTTTGGCATTCTGACACTTTCAGAGTACAATAGCTGTGGGGGTGAATGAGAAAAAAACATGTAGTGTATTCAGAGCTGGATTTGCCACAAGGTCACCGAGGCCCGACCTCGGGGCGGCAGGGAGCAGAGGGGCAGCAGGGGGTGGAAATTTCCGCTGGCCGGAACATGCAGTTGCGGTAAGTTGTTTTCTACATTTAGCCCTGCTTTTCCAAGGGGAAGCCACTTGTTTGTTTACAGGTGATCTCGGCGGTGTCGCCGAGATCACTTGTAATAACACTGCAGCCGGTCCGTCCTCCCCCCGCCCCGTGCCTAC